GTCATCACCTGGAGGAGTTGTGGATCAAGTTTGTCAGCTACTCATCTGCGGGCTTCCTCATGGGAGTCTCCTGCGGACGGCATCACGAAGTGGATGTGACTAAATCGGAATACAGAAAAATGGGCTTACTAAAGGAGCACGCTTATTCGGTGCTGGAAGTCATTTCCACTGAGCAACTCAGACTAGTCAAGTAAGTGGGAGAAAAGTAAAAAGAAGTGCTAATTTTGTGTCTTTTTGAGCAGATTACGTAATCCGTGGGGTGGCATTGTGTGGAACGGAGCATGGTCAGACCGATCTCCACTGTGGACCCCTTCTCTCCGCTCAGAGCTGGTACCTGAGGGCTCTGAAGAGGGCATCTTCTGGATCTCCTTCACCGATCTCTGTCGCTACTTCGAAATGGCCATTGTTTGCAAAATTCAACCAAACTGGTTTCAGTACGCCTACGAGGGACCCTTTACCGGGTCAAATCCAAACGGATGGACCGCTTATGAGCTGCAAATTGACAGTCAATTGATTGAAGCGGAGTGCTCTCAAGCCGAGGTGACGGCGACATTGTACCAAGAACTGAAAGGAAACAAAAAGTAAGACTATCCTGTTTTCCAAATGAAGTACTGAAACAACGCAACTTTTCCAAAACAGAACTCCAAATCAAGCCATCTTTCTGGTTCTCTTTGAGCTGCTCAACTCTCAGTCATCGCCGGTCATTGGCTCCTTCGTCTCCTCAAGCGTCTGCAACTCGCAAGGAGCAGTCACACTGGAGGCAGAGTTGAAACGACAAAAGCGGTACATGTTGGGCGTCTTTGCATTCAACGACTGGCACCAAAATGAGAGTCAGAGTTCCCAGCCTTCTCAGTACGTACTGCGAATCAACAGCTCCAAGCAGCTGCTGGTTGACTGCTGCAGTGCGAATTCAGTTCTACTTGGAGACATGGTCACTTACTACGTCAAGGCGAAGGGCAAACCGATCCACGTAAGTACCCAAAACTGAAAAGTAATTTTTTCTGTGTTTGTTATCACTGAACTGATTTGTAGAGACCGAACATAACCACCTACCAACTGAACACTGATTGGGCCGGTCTGGTGAGTGTTGTGGAGAACCGTGACCCACGACTTTGGCTTCAGGTGTCGATGCAAACTTCACTCAAACCGACAGTTGAACCCTCGAGCCAGACTACCTCTGGGTACACCTCTGCTGAGCCTCTGAACTACAGCCAGAAAGTGGCACAAAGTCTACAAATCGAAAATCACAGTGATGATCTCACGAAAAAAGCTCCCAAGCAAAAGCTTGGTGACGAAGATTCAGACCGAAAGTATCTGGCGTCATCGAGAAACGCCCTTCACACAAGGGATCTCATTCCACCACTGCACTGGTAGGTCAATAAGTTTAGAGAATTGGACCACCGAACTAACAACAACTTTTTCTCCCCCTCAGTCAACTAATAAACATCATCACCAATCAACTTCCCATCACCGGCGCGCACATCTCAATAAAACTCAACTTTCGCTTTCTTACCTTTGAAGAGTGGTTTCAGCGGAAGCTCCACAAAGGCTCCAAAACGTGGGACACTAGTCCGGTGACTGAGCTCTTTCACAAGCCGAGCATCCACGACCAGGCAGGCTTCACCTACGGATTCCACTGTCCGAGGGCGGTCAACTAGCAGTCAAATCAGTAATCCTAACTAGTCAACTTTGTTCCAATTTTGTTTAGTGTTTGTTTTCGAACACTGTTTGCCTCAGTAAATAAAACAAAGACAAAAATAGAATGTTTGTCTGCTGTATACCGTTTTCATGTCTTGCAGACATTTGTTTATACTTCCACCTTTTTTTCTTCTCCTGCCCCTCACTTCAGCTTGGAACAACATGACCTCTTCTGACATAATGAAGAAGATGACGCCAGATGTAGTCATCATTCTCGTCATTCTCCACATAGATCTGTCCATTCTGTGCCTCGTAGTCTGGTCAACGCTTCGAGATCGAGTCCAAGATGATGCAGGTAGACGGCAACTGACAATGGAAAGACAAACTGAAAACGATTCCGCCTGCACCACAATTGAAGAAAGTGTTTCGCATCAAGGATGACACAGTGATAGTTTTTAATAAAAAATATTTTTCAACTGTAAATTGTTAACTTTCATCACTTTTTTCCAATACTCGATATCTTGTTCTTCTTTTTAAGAAAAGTACACTAAATCCTTCTTCCACAGGTCAACTAGCATCGTTTCGATGCCAGTCTCATCAGAGAAGTGCTCCTGGAAGGACTGAATCAGCCCTTCGTGTGTGTTCGGAAAGGTCTTCAGCTGCACTGTGCTGTCTGCCATTGCTGTGGCAGACTCGACAAACAGGCGACGTGGCTTCTTTCGAGCCTGAGCAATATCGCGGAACTTCAAGTATGGATACTCCAAGTTATCGTCAACGGTTGAATAGTGGTCAAACATCTTGATAGCAGCCTCGGAATCACCGGTCGACTTGTACGTCTGAAGCTTCAGCAAGAAGTCTCCAATCGCCTTCTTGCCCTTTGTCTGGATTAGTTCGTGGTCACGGGCAAAGCTAATCAGCAGATCGGGTTTACCTAGTAGAAGAGTAAACAAATATAAAGTGAGTAAAACGCTCAATCAAATCATATCAACACAATCAAAATGTACCATCGTCTTTGTTCTTTTCAATCTGCTCAATCTTCACCAGCTCCTTGGCGCTCTCCAGCAGTACTCGCGTGATAACATAGCGCGCTTGCGAGTGAGCCTGCAGCCATTTCTTCACCGAGGGGTTGTACATCTTCAAGCTCTCAATGCCCTTGTGTACCATGGACAGCCAGTTAACGTAGACCACATTTCGCTGTTCTGTCAGGTCTGTGAACCCAAAAATCTTGATGACTTCGCTGTCCAAACTCAGATACAGGCCAACACATTCGGCTCGGCACTCCTCGTAGGCAGAGCTCAGTGGACCAAACTTGCTGTCGTACGATTCGTTAGCAGCGTACCTAAAAATAAAATAACCATTAGCAANTCGCTGTTCTGTCAGGTCTGTGAACCCAAAAATCTTGATGACTTCGCTGTCCAAACTCAGATACAGGCCAACACATTCGGCTCGGCACTCCTCGTAGGCAGAGCTCAGTGGACCAAACTTGCTGTCGTACGATTCGTTAGCAGCGTACCTAAAAATAAAATAACCATTAGCAACAATTACAAAAGTAGCAAACCACATTACTCACCATTTCGTCACCGGCTTTCCAGTCAGTGGATCAATGGTCTTGGCTTGATCAAAGTTCAACTTGCCATCGGTTCCTGCCTTCAACAGCTTGCCGCTTCCATGGCCAAGCAGCTCATGCAGACCAACTTGCACTTCAAAGCTTGCCACAGAGTACTTCTCCATATACTTTGCATCTTCAGAGCTCAAAAAGTTAGGCTTTGATTCCTTCAAACTGGCGGTGATTACATTGCCCAGAGACACGTTCTTGAAGCCTTCGNTTCAACTTGCCATCGGTTCCTGCCTTCAACAGCTTGCCGCTTCCATGGCCAAGCAGCTCATGCAGACCAACTTGCACTTCAAAGCTTGCCACAGAGTACTTCTCCATATATTTTGCATCTTCAGAGCTCAAAAAGTTTGGCTTTGATTCCTTCAAACTGGCGGTGATCACATTGCCCAGGGACACGTTCTTGAAGCCTTCATTCTGGCGAATCTCATCGTAGTTGGGAATGTTGATACCAGCAGGAATTCCCGACCCGGTGAATGTCAGCACGTCCAGCGACGTAAAGTCAGGCTGAAGAAAGCGGTCCTTTTCAAATTCTTTCGACCAAGGCAGTTTAGGCAGCAACAAGGAAGCACCATTCACAAGTGTTTCAAACTTTTTGCTCATTTCCTAAAATGTGACAAAAGTTAATCTTCAAGAGCACAATTTTATGTTCTAGCAGCTTACCTTGTTCACCACAGCAACAAATCCTTCAAACTCGGCACGCTGTCCGGCTGGATCGCGGTAGTTCTCGATGAAGCCAATGTACGTCTCAACAATTGGTCCCTTGTCCTTAATCCAGAATCGCGATCCCTCTTTGTGCTCGCTCAAATCACCGGAATTAAAGTGCTTCAAGTACTCGGCAATCATCTTTGATTCGGTCTCATTTCGAGCAGACTTTTTGGCCAACTCGAGGTGCTTGTTGAGCAGTTTCATAATGGGCGAGTAATCGCCTCGTTCAAGGCGAAACTTGTGCTGGCCCTCAGTTAGGTGCATGATCTTGCCCAAGTAAGCACGCTCCTCCATGTCATTGTTGCCCAGGGACGATGCAAAACGAATGACGTACTCCCCAGTGTTGGCGTCTTTGAATGCGCGCGTGTTGTAGGCGTCGAGATGCTGAAAACAAACAGTTGACACTATAAAAGATGGCACAAAAACTTTAGTAGTTCAAAACATACATTCGCTTCAAAAAACTTCTTTACAATTTCCGAGTCTTGTTTGGTCATATTCTTTGACCAGTACGTGGTGGTTCCATCAGGAGCAAAGCCCAGCGACAGCTGGCTCGACTCCAGCGAAAATAGCCGACTTTTCACGTTGCTCCAGACGTTTTCAATGAAAGCCGTATCCGCCTTGAAAGCAGTGGAAGCTTTAACGAGAGCTTCTAGTTTTGCTTCCGGCAAATTAGGCACAAACTTTGAGTCACCAAAGCCACGGTAGTTACCTATTTTATACAGTTAGCGATTGTTTCAGAATGTTAAAGAGCATTAGCTTACCCATGTTTGAGTAGAAAGCGGCAACATAGGTAAGGAGTGCGCGCCATTCCTCTTCCGTCATTTTAGCATCCTTCAGTGCCACCTGTTTCAGCTCATCAACCGACTGGTGAGAGAACAGGCTACGAAATAGAACAAAGATGAGCGGGCTTTCCGGCGAAGTTTGGAACAGGACGGCCAGCGAGCCAAACCAACTGGCCTTTGAAAGATGGTGCGCATAGGTCTTTTCCTCATGCGTGAGGTTTTTGAACGCGGTGCTAGCATCAAGCTGGACAACTGAAAAAGAATTGACAATTAATGAAACGGAAATAAGAACACCTTCAATGAGCGCTAGTTTACCCGGCGTGTCATTGGTATAGATGTACTCGGAATTGTTCATCTTGGCGGTTGGTTGTTTGTTAGAATTGACTTTGGAAGTCGTTGACAAGGATGACAGTGTTTGCGTGGATAAGTTGAGACGTTGAGGCTGCCTCTGATAACGGCTTACTGAAGATAATTGCTGTGGCTTTATAGAGAGATAGAGCAGGCGTCGACTAAAGCTACCCAAATTATTGTTGAGAAGTAGGTGGGTCTGGGAAAAAAGAATGGCAAACAGTTGTAAAGTTATTTCAGGTAAAGAGAGAGAAAATGAGATAAGCAAAACAAGTGAAATCTACAGCCCAGGATACCTGGAAGCCGGCGATCTCTGTTAAGTGTGATTGGCGTGTCACACTACCACCGCCGCTGCAACAGTATGATGTAACGGCGCTGACAGCTGTCGTCCTTCGACAGTGGTGGCAGTAAAGCAATTTAACAGGGTGTTGGCGACTTCCGGTGGACTTTCAGAAAGAAGAGCGAGCGCATTTACCATACCATGGAAGACAAATCCAATCGATCCAGAGAGCTGATCAATCTGTTTTGGTTGTCAGTGTGCTTGCACTGCTGCAAAGTGCTGACAAATGCTGCCCCGGTCTGTTGTCAGCTCACGTTTCGGCGCTGCATAACGCAGTAGATGAGTGTGCTCATTGTGGTTAACAGACAGTTTGCCCGTGACTGGGGGACATCAGTTTCACCTTTCGCCACGGTAAAACGTTTGTTGTGAACTGGGCAGCACCGAACATCGGAATACCCAAAGAAAACAGTGCACGTTTTTGGCAGCATTTGCATTGCGGAAACTGGGATCTTTCTTAGCGCTGCCTGCGCAAAAACAACCCAAAAGCTGACTGATTGTAGCTTCCTTATCATAATCCCCCAAGTCACTGGCAAAAAAGCAGTTTACAGTAGTGGGCGCCACTGCACAACCCCACAGCGTGGCTTTTCTATTTACGTTTGCTGAAGCCGCCGCCGGTGCCAGATACTCGCACCTTTTTGAGATATTTGCTGTGCGACAATCCAAACCTTCCTTACCTCTCCCACCTCTGGTCAATCGCTGGCCATCATGGCGAATGAGACTCCGGTGTCGCTGCTCAACCAGATTTGCAGCCAGAATGACATCTCCCCCGCTTACAACCTGATTGCCCGTGAGGGCCGCGTCCATGCGCCCGTCTTTACCTACAATGTTGAGCTGGCGGGCATGAACGTTGAAGGCTCCGGGCAGAGCAAGAAAAAGGCAAAACATGTCGCTGCAAAGATGATGCTGAAGGCAATCTTAAATGGCGATGCTGTGCTGCTCGAAGAACGAGAAAAGGAGGCGATTCAGAGATGCCTTAAACAGTGTGATGAAGAGGACATTGCTGAAGCCAATAAGTTGATCAAGGCATACTCATCAGCCAATGCCATCAAAGGACAGACTTACGAAGCTATTTCCGGCCCGGGTGGCGAGAACCGAGTGAAGAGTGATGATCGACAGAACGAGCTGGCGCAAAGTGACCCCACTGATGACATGAACCCCATCGGCAAGCTGCAGGAGATTTGCATGAAAAAGTTTTGGCATCC